ACTACTACTACTACTACTACGATTGCTACTTACTACTACTCCTGCTTACTACTCCTTCTTCTTCTACTACTACTACTACTACTGCTACTACTACCACTACCACTACCACCACCACTGCCACTACCACTACCACTACCACTACCACTACCACTACCACTACCACTACCACTACCACTACCACTACCACTACCACTACCACTACCACTACTACTCCTACCTTCTCCTACCGACGCCTACCTTTCTGCTACTACTACTACTACTACTACTACTGCTGCACCAGGAGACCACCAAGACAGCACGAAGAGACCACCAAAAAGACCACCAGGAGACACCAATGCACCACCAGCAGAGACCAAGAGACCACCAAGACACCATTGCGGAGCAGCACAAACGTGGCTTCTCCAAAGTACTGGCGCATTTCGAGGGCAAGCGACTTATGCTTCCCCTGGCTTGGCTGGCCATGCGAAAACGCTCCCGCAACTACTGCTGCGATTGTATTCGAGTGCAGAAAATGGCTCATGCATTTTACGTACAATGAATCCCTGCCCCAGGGGCGAGCGCAGCAGAACAATTGAGTGAAAATACAATGACGCCAGAGAAAACTATGCACTGCACCACGGCGGGATACCCGTGACACGAGCATCCTGTGTAAATAAAAGGACGCAGGAGCGCATTTGCTTTATATAGTAGGACTCAGGGAGCTCCTTTTCCAGGTGCGCTGCACAGGGATGGCATCAATTTGAGGGGTTCTAGAGGGAGGGTTTGAAGCTATGGAGCGATTTCATGATGTTTTGAACCATTTTTGGAAGGGCTTTGGATCTGAATGCTGTTTGAAGGGCTTTTCACGGCGGTGTGAAGGGGTTTAACTGCCGCTGCTCAAGGCTTAAGGGGTTTAGAAGGGCTTTGGAAAGGCCCTCATAGCAACATGTGAGAACGGTTGAAGAAGGGGTGTCGAATATTGTGAATTGCATTGTGTCAAAATTTAAACAGGCTCTATAGACTCTGCGGCTTTTAAAGTTCTTGGAAGTGCCTTGTTGATGGCGTTTACGACTGTAGAAGCATCCAGACAGGTGTAACGATATTGGGTTGTTTGATATTGAGCAAACGCAGGAGCCCCGTCATGTTGTTTCCCCCTCGCCAACAACGATATAGCCGGTATGGTTTACAAGGCTTTACTTGTGTTTTCAGAGTTTTGGATTTTAGAATTGTTATAGTGATGGTGTAAAGGGTTAGTACTGGTATTATGCTTGTTCGTCGTGAAAGTAGTAGTCGTGGTCGTCGTAGTAGTAGCGGTAGTAGTAGCGGTAGTAGTAGCGGTAGTAGTACTAGTAGTCGTCGTCGTCGTAGTAGCCGTAGTAGTGTATTATTATTATTAGTAGTAGTAGTCGTAGTAGTCGTAGTAGTAGTAGTAGTAGTAGTAGTAGTAGTAGTAGTAGTATCGCGCCTTGCACTCCAAGGCTAAGAAGCTCCACGGCGAGCGCCGGGGCGAAATCCTGCTTGGACAATGCATGCCTCCCCTCACTCATTGAAGACACGAGCGAGAAACTCTAAAGAAGCTTGTGGCTTCTAGCAGTCCTGGGGCTGGGATTGCAATGCTCCAATCGCAGTCCGGACGCTCACCTTGGCATGCATCGCAAGAAGAGGGAGAGGGACAAACAGAGAGAGAGAGAGAGAGAGAGAGAGGGACCCGTCAGCCAGCAACGCAACAAGCTAGTGGCAAAGAGAAGCAGGAAATGCACGCCATGGAAAGAGCAGGAGAAAAAAGAGGGGGAGAGCGATGGAGAGTCACTGTATCTTGTACTCTTTTTTTACGGTCATAAAATAAAGTCGCTGGCTCAGCTGAGGAGCGTCTTGCCCAACCGGCGTGATGATCTGATATCGCCTAGGCGATGTTCAAGACTAGTTCTGTCTCAGAACTGAATGCTCGGGAGAGCTCGGGAGGCGGGCCTCAGATTCAAACCGGAAACAGAGACCTGGGATCCATGGATGCGGCACTAGGCATGTGCAGCAAAGCCAGCAATCTTGCAGCAACAACAACAACAACAACATCATGAAGTAACGTTGTTGCTTGAGGGTCCAGGGTATTTATTGACCAGAGGCCATCACAATGTTAACTCACGTTATGCTCGTGCAGTTGATACCGTGGTCGTGATCTATAGTCCGAATGAGTCACTGAGTTCAGGGGATTCTTCTTGCGAGCCAGTTGCACTGTCCAAGACTGGGCGAGTCGTCGATACTGCCTCTTCTGCTCCGCACCACTTGCAAAGAAAGCGTCTTAAAATCGTGCACCAACGTGAGAAGGAAACAACACTAGCAATATGCAAGCAAGGCAGCAGTAGGAAAGCACATCGGACTCAATTCACGGTAGTCACCATGATAACACCATGGCTGTGTTAATCTAACATGTAGAATCCTGAAACGGAAGACGCTGTGATGTCATGTGCATACATCGCTACGACGGCATGTGCACCAACGGCCATATTCGGTAAGCCCGTGGCAGACAAGCCAGTGTTCGGAAGACGAGAAGCAGTAACAATACGCGACATGCCGCTTCATCCACATGTGCGGTCAATGCTTCACCAGCTGCAGTCATGTCTGGAGAATCAACATCATGCGAGCTGACACAAGGACTGAAAACTAAACCCCTGTCTGCGGCCTCCATCCTTCCCCATCTACAGTCCCGTGCGCAGATTCGCCTCCTCGTCAGTCGGCGTGCCAGCGCGGCGGAGACGTCCACCGTGGCGGGGTCCAGCCCCATGGAGGAAGCCAGGGCCGCCTGGATGTGGTATGGGGTTTGCATCAATGCAAGGATGTTCAAATCGTGATGAGAGGTTTTGTCTTTCCGCAGTTTTCAACGGGTGGTGGTTGCGAGTCTACAGTGCTCAGTCAGGTATTTAGTGGACATGGATGATTTTTGGAAGCCATTTCGACCACTTCTGCAAGCAGAGACATCCTGTTTGCATCCTTTTATAAGCCCTGAGCTCATTCCAGCCTTTGGGCCTTGGAATAGGTGCCCGTTGTGAATCGAGCTTCTTCGTGTGTTGAGCAGAGTCTTGGGAGCATCATAGCTGTATGCATGCAGCAGTCCTATTTGCTCCCAAGGATGTCATGCATGCTTCGATGCACCCACCTACAGATTCAGGCAATCAACGCCCCTCGAGGTTCACCTGTCCTTTCGTTGACCACCCGAAGCTTGATCCTCGCCTGTTTGGCATGTGCCTAGTCTGGAGAGTAGTCAGAGACACATGGGTCTTATCGCGCCGCACAGCTGTTTCGGTGCAGTGCCCTATTGTGCAACTGCTCTACTTACGCAGCCGACTGGAGGAGGACTTACGAATCAGGGTGTATGGGTTCACACTTAGCAAGCTTTCTCAATACTAGCCTTTTGCCAAGGGCACTGCCACTGCCAGCTCCACCTGACTCTGCGTTGCCCCGGCGAGGACGAAGCTCATGGAGCCTCGAAAATCCAAACTTGTGCTTGAGTTCAGACTGGCGCTGTATGGCTTTTCACAAAGAATTACAAGAGATCCACCTCTCAGCGTCGTCGTTGCTGCCGGGAAACCAGATATTACGGCAACATAGCTGTCGGACGACATGGCCAGAGGACACTCCTCAGCAGAACTGCTACGTGCCGAGCCCTTCCCCTCTCATTGGATCCAAACTAGTGACAGAGCCCATCCTGTCGGATCCTGAGCCTGTTGACACGCCTCACAGCGAACAAACCCAAACAGAAATCGTCTCCAACCTCGAATGCAAAACAGAGGACCCGAACCTAAACATGCAGTTGCTGTGTGACGGCTCCCGCTCCCATCCTATGGATGCCAAGCATCCGATGCGTTGTCTGTCATCCAAGCCAAGTAGATCACCTTCCCACGGTTTCGAGCACGGCGATAACTTCCGAAGAGGAGACCGGGATGAGCGGTTGCACGCTCCGTGACAGGTTGAGTGGAGGCTGCAAAGAAGCACTCACAGCGAACAGGACGCAAATGCTCAGATCCCAAGCCCCAATTGCAAAGCTAGCATAAGACGAAAGCCCGGGGGAAGGCCCCTGTATAGACCGTGCAGACCGCCCCCTGAGCATGGAGCAAATCCAGCTAGGCGGCATAGTGTTCGATCTGACTCTGATCTTCGGGAGGCTCCCAAGTCAACGTGCCACCCAAATCCTGGGTTTTGGCTGGAGGTTTTCGCTCTTTGACGCTTGGGCCTGGGTTGAGGGCATTGAGGGCTTCGGCTTCGGGTTCCGAAACCTCGGCTTGCGCTCACTCCGACCTGACCAAACCAAGATCCTCTTGACGGGAATCTGATGCTGCGTCGAATTTCAGGACTTCAGGATACGGCACTACCGAACAAGCAAAACTCGTCCTCGAATCGATTGAGCTTGGTTCTGTTGCTTCTAGGTGTTACACACTCACAAGTGTGCGGCTCGGTCAGGGTTTCGGCGCCCAACCTAAGCTGGATTCTGGTCTGTTAGTTCCCAGGCTCGAAAAGTTTTCCCTTCTGCAAAAGTATCATCGGCCAACATCTCCTGCAAGCCCCATAGCGTCATTCCAAAGCCCAATTTTTGACTGACCAATGCCGGCCAAGAGTCTGTGGCATCAAGATCGAAATCTGGGAAGCTAATATTCGAGACCTCGGTTCAAGGGTCAAGGTTAGGGATCGTGGGCGTCATGGCCGTCGCGGTGCTCTTCCACTTTCTGGGATTTGCGCGCGCGCGGCTTTGGTATGGCCGTCTCTGCCGTTATTTCGCTCGTGAAACTAATGTGCATATGCATATATTAATATTCCTGTAGATGCCTGCTTGCTGCAATTGGGCTGGTCTCTTGGCGACTATTGTCCATTGCTTCTCAAGGAGGAGGAGTAGTCGTAGCAGTAGTAGTGGTAATAGTAGCAGTAATAGTAGCAGTAGTAGTGG